AAATGTGGCATAATAAAAGCTCCGCTGCTTTCGAGCCGTGTTTCGCGCTCGTTCAGCGGCCTCGTTTCACTTTGACGGCTTTCAGCCCCACCCTGCTTCATTCTACTACGTTAATAAATCATTAGCTCATCCATGAACATGATTTCTGGCCGAGTCCCTTCGGATTGCATCGGCTGTGGGATGAAGACGACAACTCCCATGATTCCACACTCAGTCACGGCATCATCAAACTACGCCTTTGTCTATTTGTTTATTTTGAATACGCGCCCTCTAGCGGCGAAAATGACATATTGTGCCTTTAAGTACTGAGTAATATTAATTAACTACATGTACTTAGGGTTAGGATTAGGGTTTGGCTTAGGGTTACTTGCATATAATTATGCATAATTAATTGTTATTATAATAGTAAGTACATGTAACATGTGTAACAAGGGTATCTTAAAATAAAGTGTTACCAAAAACTAATAAACAGCTAATATGCTAGTAATATGTATGCTAAGAAGCAACTAGTTAATAGTGAGAACTGGTCCTTGAAATAATGTGGTACCACCTTTTCACCTCACATTTTAAATAGTAATAGTTCAATGAGATAACAGAGACGACAACTCCCATGATTCCACACTCAGTCACGGCATCATCAAACTACGCCTTTGTCTATTTGTTTATTTTGAATACGCGCCCTCTAGCGGCGAAAATGACATATTGTGCCTTTAAGTACTGAGTAATATTAATTAACTACATGTACTTAGGGTTAGGATTAGGGTTTGGCTTAGGGTTACTTGCATATAATTATGCATAATTAATTGTTATTATAATAGTAAGTACATGTAACATGTGTAACAAGGGTATCTTAAAATAAAGTGTTACCAAAAACTAATAAACAGCCAATATGCTAGTAATATGTATGCTAAGAAGCAACTAGTTAATAGTGAGAACTGGTCCTTGAAATAATGTGGTACCACCTTTTCACCTCACATTTTAAATAGTAATAGTTCAATGAGATAACATGGGTCAAGTGAAATTAATAGTTCTTTTAAAATGCATTCATGCCTTATCATTCTTCTTCTTGCAGGAATTGTCGTAATGAGATCACAGTGGTGGTGTGGAGGACAGTGCCTATTATGAAGCCTTACTACGAGGGGCTTATCCACAGGCCTTCCTACAAACCCTCAGGATTTGATTCTGTCTCATCTGCAAAGACTCAAAACAAAACCCCACCTTTACTCTCTCGACCCACCAATCACAAACAGGGTCGTCGTAAAAAAGTAAGTAGCCCTGATAACACAGGAAACGGAGTAGGAGAGTCATTGTGGTCTTGGACTGGCAAACAAGAAGAAAATGACTACAAAACACGCACACAGACCCTCAAAGGTACCCGTGTGACATCATCAAACGGCGACAACTACATCATCCTCTCTCCTGTCAGTCCTGGAAACCAGGTGGGAATCTGAAAGCAATTGTATTCATGCTCATTCCGACTGAAGGCTGGGGTAACATCTTACTTATCTGAATGTTTAATGTTTCAGATATTGCAACCAGTGTATTCTGACTCCAATGGCACACTGGGAACTCTAGGTAAGACAGGCCATGAGAAGGTTTTATGTTTGTTTCTGTTCTACATGTTTAGGTAACGATCTCGTGTTGGCGTGTCTCAGATCAGTTTAAAATGTAAAATTTCTGCACATGCTCTTTAAGAAAGAAGTGTGCAAGAACAGTTATTATGGTTCCCTTTTAAAGTATAGTGGTGAAAAGATCATGAGGCTCATGACCATGATAGTAATTTATTAACATATTCGTAGATGGCATCAATAAGAGGTGACAGTAAAGATAGTGTTACTGAAGATTTCAAATAAATTTAGTTTTTTCGAACTTTCTATTCATCAAAGAAAAAAAAATGTGTTGCTGTTTCCACAAAGTATTAAGCAGCACAACTATTTTCAACTTTGATAATCATAAGAAATGTTTCTTGAAAACTAAATCAGAATATTCAAATAATTTCTGAAGGATCATGTGACACTGATAACTGAAGTAACGGCATCTGAAAATTCAGCTTTGCCATAACAGGAATAAATTAGATCTTGAAATATATGTGTGTGTATATATATATATATATATATAAAATGGTCTTTGATGAAATTTCATGTCGATTCATAGGAAGAATCTATCAGACTGGCAGAGGACTGCAGCAGAGCCCAGACTACCTGCAGAATGGGGGGCTGCAAGCACAAGCCACTTTGTGTAGGTCTATGAACAGTACGGCCACCACCTTGCCTCCTTCATCCTACAGACAGAGCTTTGCCAACTACCAGAACTGTACCATCGTCCAGTCCCACCTGCCTCACTCTAACTATGGCACATATGTCAGTCTGGCACCCAAGATTCTCATCTTCCCAGTTTTTGTTCAGGTATATTCAGTATCTGTTTATCTTCCAGGTTTATTATGCAGTCTTTGTACATGTTTTATTTTAAATATTGAAGTGCTAGAGTTAAAAGATCAGTGGTTTGTGTTATTGAGTGTATCACATGAGTGTTATCAATAACAAATGATGGATGATTAATTAAAAGGGTAAAGAGCTTTTTTAAATACATTTTTGGTTCAAATCTATATGGATGTATAAGTAAGAGTGTATGTTTTCATGTTCTCCCAATTATAAATTAGCTTTTTTTCTGTGATGTGAGAAATAATTTTTCTCAAGTAATATGAGGTTGTGAAAATTTGCATGTGTAATAAACAAAAATGTTGCTTAAATAGTTGGGAGTATAATATGCCACAGCACAGCATACTGCTGTCACTGCTTGGCATTTCATGCCAATTACCTCTACCCATATATTGGCTGATTTACTGACCAGTGTGCTCTTATTATAGTTTACCTAGGATGTGTTGTACTGACATATGACATGATTGACATGATGCACATAGTGTAGCTGTAATAAGTCTTTAATTGCATTGCAGCCGCTGGACCTGTGCAGCCCTGAGAGAGTCCTGATGTTGTCAGAGGAAATGGTCCTTCATGACAGTAAACACATAGCTCTTAAGGTAACGCCATTAACTCACACTCTCCCCAGAGGAAAATGTATTGCTCAGAGGTTGCTTTTTATGAATCGGGAGTTTTCTGTTGTATTTAATGAACTAATTTTCATTTACTTTTTAACAAATGTGTTTATAACTAATGAGACAATTGTTAGCAATATAATATGACTATATAGCCACAGAAATAATATGGATGACATGTTGCAAATAATTTTTCTTCGGAATTTGATGAGAAATGTTTAAGTTCATATTATGATTCATGACCTTTGATTGCGGACTGGAAAATTTGAGCACAATTTGTGAGCCTGTTGAAAACTCCTCTGAGATAGGAACTAATCTCTTTTTCTCAGTAGAATCATCTGAAGCAAGCACAAGTCTCCATTTGCTTTCTTTTTGTCATTGCTCTGTTGGAGAAACATTCGAGATATTAAAGGGAATTGGCAAGTTCATCCAAAAATGAAAAGCATTGAAAAAGCTGTTATTGTCTATATGATTTGCTATCTAACATGGAACATAAAGAGAAGTTTAGCAGATTGTTTATGCTGCTCTTTTCCATACATTGAAAAAACAATTCTGTCATCATTTACTCACCCTCAAATTGTTCCAAACATGTATGAGAAGATATTTTGAAGAATGTTGGTAACCAAACAGCTGACTTTCATAATATGGAAAAAAATTATATTAAAGTCAGTGGCTACTGTCAACTGTTTGGTTACCAGCATTCTTCAAAATATCTTCTTTTGTGTTCAGCAGAAGAAAGAAATTAATTCAGGTTTGGAACGATTTTAGGGTGAGTAAATGATGACAGAATTTAATTTTTTTGGGTGAACTATCCCTTTAAGCTATGTAATGGTTTTGTTATTACTGTTTTATATCTGATGAATCTGCCAACATTCACTGCAGATTGCATTGTCGTCCTAAATATGTAAAGTTTTTGCATTAACTTAACTATTGATGACTTTCAGATCCTTTTAAGCAAGTCCTTCATCTGGTTCCAGGAATCTAGCGTGAGAGACATCCTGTCTAAAACATCTTGTCTTGGATAAAATATGCAGAAACGATTCTTGTAATGTCTTGTTTGTGGGCTCTGAAGGTGACCTGGAGCTGGTGTCCCCTTTCATGAGAACTGACTATTTTGCTTGGTCAGATTTGAGCTTGTTCTCATGATACCCCTCTAAAAGCCTGCTATAGTCCATGACCTGATGTTTTCTTGAGATGGACGAAACACTACCTTTTCTATTAGATCCATTTCACTGAACAATCGTTTGGGAACTGCAGAAATATTTGTCTCGTTGACAGTAATGCCCGACACAAAATATGTGCTCCCCATAGTGTGGAAGCAGATACCTTCATCCGAGATTTCTTTCTGCTGCAGCTTTAACGGAAACCTGCAGTTTGGGAATAACATGACCTCGGCTTCCTCAGCATGAGCAATATTGTGCAAAGATAAATCTCTGAGTGCCACAGTAGCCTCCAAAACCGACTTCGTATCTATAGCGATTCGCTTTGAGAGTCTGTCACATCCTTTGTGCTCTCTCGCAGGGCCCCCGTCTGCATGCCAGCTGACCTCAATTTTGCCGAGAGACCTGTTTGAGTAATGCAGTCAAGAGTTTCTAAAGATCAGAGTGTTTAAGAAGGATGAGCTGTACATCACTAAACACATTCCTCCAGTGTCCTAGAACGAGTGTGTGTGTGTTTGACTGTGATTTAGATCAGCTGCTTTTATTAAGTTGGCCTAATTCCAAGCCTGGGCAGTGGGTGCCATGAAAGGCAAAGCAGCGCGACCAGCCTACTGCTTTCTTTGTGGGAATCACAGCTTTTCCCCTTCCTAATGACCTTAACTTGACTTTACCTGATTCATCGTAACTTTAATGGGTCTTATAGTTGTATAATATTATTTAAGCCATTAAGTAAAGGACAGTTCATTCTCAGTGTAATTCTGCATCTGCTCTCCAGTTTAAATGAACGCTATAAATAGGCTCATGTTTTCCATTATAAAGAATTATGTTTGTCTTCACTTGGTAGAAGCTGAGTGAGAGTGACACAAGAAGGTCAGATGGGGATGTTTCAGTGCGGTACTGATTGTTGTCTGTATCGCCCTCTATAGGCTACAGTGTTCATCTACACAGACCTGATGCTGTTGACCAGGGAAGATGAACCGGGTCGTTGTAATGTACTACAGAGTCCACTTTACCTCCATGATATACAGCTGCAGGATGGTGCGTACTACTATTTTCCACTAACTCTGTGTAGAAGGCATTGTAATTTTTTTATTTAATTTTTTTGTCCGGCTATGACAGCTGTTTTTTTGAGCAAAAGTAAGGCATAATATCAAGCATGTCTCATGTTTCAGACAACATTTGGATTGTGCACTTGTCTGGCAGCAGCTCAGTCTGTGTCTTTCATTATTTTTCATATGTAATCGCAGCATCAATATCTTTACAAATAATTGTCTGTAAATTATTTATTAGGCTTTTAATGATACTAATACTATAATGTCGCTGTATTAAAAAGTATACACATACCTTAATTGGAAAACATAATGTGCAAATCATGACTGGTTTGTTCGATGCTTATTATCCATTATGGCGTTCTGTCAACTATCAAGAAACTTTCTCACACTGCATCCACTACATCCAGCTATTGTTGTTGTTGAGCCCTGCAATGTGTTGCTGTGTTTCAGTGTGAAAGCAAAGGCAGTGCTAGTGCTTGGTTTACATCTGTTAAAGATGTAACCTGAAGATGTATCCTGAAGTGAACTGAATTTCTTCACATGCAATGAGTTCAAATGTTAGACTATAAGGCAGTCTATCTATCTGTCTGTCTGTCTGTCTGTCTGTCTTAATCATTCTCAATCATTCAGTCTATCTGTGTATCATCTCTCTGGGTTGATTGTTTAGAGTAGGAGGGATGTTAAGGAGGTCCACCCTGTGTTATTTATGACTGTGTGTTAGAAGCGATAGTCAGGAAGGAGGCGTCAGGACTGTGGGAATGAGTATGTGTGTGTCATGAGAGCGTAGCTCTCCTAACTCTCTGTGTCTGCTGGGAACAATGGCCATGTCTCCGGTATGGCCCGTTAGGCAGGCTGGGCGGGACAGTGTATTCTTTACCTTCCTGAGAACAGAAATACTGCAGCATGTGCACAGAGGGCAGTTCTATCTTCAGCCTTTATTTGACATCTCTCTCTTTTTAATAGCATCACTATGCTGACCTTTGTCCTTTTGGATATGAAATTAGTTGTTTGGTCAAGGCACTTGACTTTGCAGTCAAAGTCCATTATTGAAACAGATAGGCCAGAATGTGCATAGAGGGGCAAAATTAATATTATAATATTAATATGTCAATATGTGAAATGTGTATTAAAGAAAATGATGTACTGTTTTTAAAAAAAATCATATACTCTAATTTTATTTATGCGGGAACACTTTATTTTAAGGATCATTTCTCACTATTAAGTAGTTGCTTCTTAGCATGCATATTATTATTGGCTGGCTGTCTGTCTGTCTGCTTGCCTGCCTGTCTGCCTGTCTGTCTGCCTGTCTGTCTGCCTGTCTGTCTGTCTGTCTGTCTGTCTGTCTGTCTATCAGTCTGTCTGTCAGTCTTTCTATCAGTCTGTGTGTCAGTCTTTCTATCATACATACAGTTGTCTCCTTAAAATATTTCAGAAAAGGGCTCCAGACTCAAACCGAATCTTCTCCATACTGTGAACATGTAAAAAGTCAAAAGCCAGTTGGCGATAAGGAGGGGGAGCTGCTGACTTCCAATTCATAAGAATAAGTCGCCTAGCCAGTAGAGTTGCAAAGGCTACACTATCAGCCTGTAATATGTAAAGAAAAAAATAACACAAAAACACCTAAAGACTTGCCTCCAAAAATCAGACAATTCTGGACAAGACCAGAAAGAATGCAGTAACATAACTGGTTCAGTTGTGCAGCGAGGGCACTGTCTGTCTGCCTGTCTGTCTGTCTGTCTGTCTGTCTGTCAGTCTTTCTATCAGTCTGTGTGTCAGTCTTTCTATCATACATACAGTTGTCTCCTTAAAATATTTCAGAAAAGGGCTCCAGACTCAAACCGAATCTTCTCCATACTGTGAACATGTAAAAAGTCAAAAGCCAGTTGGCAATAAGGAGGGGGAGCTGCTGACTTCCAATTCATAAGAATAAGTCGCCTAGCCAGTAGAGTTGCAAAGGCTACACTATCAGCCTGTAATATGTAAAGAAAAAAATAACACAAAAACACCTAAAGACTTTCCTCCAAAAATCAGACAATTCTGGACAAGACCAGAAAGAATGCAGTAACATAACTGGTTCAGTTGTGCAGCGAGGGCAGGTTGGGTCAAAATCAGGAAATATTTTGTTTAATTTAGCTCTAGACCAATGGACTCTGTGCACCACCTTAAAATGAATGAGAGTACGTCTAGCATTTATAGACGATGAGTGTATATGGGCAAGAATTAGATCTATTAGAATATTTTCCTCAAACGTCAAATTCAATTCCTCCTCCCAGAGTGCCTTCAATGGATGCATTGAGGGGGACTGTTTTGTGTTAATTATAGTATAGATTGTAGAAATGGCCCCTTTCAAAGATGTATACAGGTCTAATACATCAAGTATTTTTATTGGGCAAAAAGGGAAAGTTAGAAAACTGCTTACGAATAAAGTTCTGTATCTGAAAGAATCTAAATAAATGGTAGCTGGGTAAGTCAAATGTTTCTCTTAGTTGTGTAAAGGATGCAAAATTGTTATCAATGTATAGCTAACCAACTGTAGCTAAGCCATGTTCCCTCCAGGTGTTAAAAGCCCTATCCATCAAATAGGGTGGAAATGACATATTGCAAAAAAAATGGTGCCATAGTACAAGGGTCTTTAAGGTCTAACACTAAACGGAATTGAGACCAAATGCTTAAAGGGGTGGTTGACTGTTTTTTTTCTAGGCTTGATTGTGTTTATGGGGTGCAGTCTAACATGTGTTAATGCTTAGTTTTTAAAAAAACGCATTCTTTTTCACATAATTTACCTTTATTCTACACCACTCTGTCCCTTCTCCCGTGAACACGATCATTTCCTGCTTTTATGAAGCCCCTCCCTCAGAAATACGTGATAGGCTCAGATTGGTTAGCTAGCCCAGTGTGTTGTGATTGGCTAAATCGCCTCTGCGTGTCTAAACATCCCACCCCTCAGCTCAGCAGCATGTGCTCCGGTTGTATTGTAAACAATGGCATTGTCAATATTGCTTATCAGTTTGAGCCCGATTGAGACGCAGAGGATATTAGTGAAGAGGATCGCGTAGAACCTGTGCAAGCTCGGCTCTTAATGGTATGTTTTTTGATTGTTGTTGTCTCATACTTTTAGATACACTGTTATGTGTAAATGCTACTGATTCTGTTAGCTTTTAATATATGGTTTTATCCTGATTAAACCTTTAATACAGTACGCAACCACACGCGCGTCCACGTATAACGTATAACACTTCTCATAGCTACACTCTTAAAAATAATGGTGCTTCAAAAGGTTCTTCAAGCGATGCCATAGAAGAACCATTTTTGGTTCCACAAAGAACCATTCAGTCAAAGGTTCTTTAAAGAACCATTTCTTTCTTACCTTTTTGTAATCTGAAGAACCTTCTTTCGCCACAAAGAACCTTTTGTCAAACAGAAAGGTTCTTCAGATGTTAAAGGTTCTTTATGGAACCATTTCGACAAAAAGGTTCTTATATGGCATCGTGAAGCACCTTTATTTTTAAGAGTGTATGTGAAAATAAGTATATAAATGGAACAGTTCATTGTTGGAGCTGAGCTGATGATCTGAGTGAGAGATTGAGAGAGAGAGAGAGATGCAGCAGAACAGAGCGTGTGCAGAGCAGGGGATGCGAGGAACAGGATTGAGAACCGCTGCTGCTTTAGAACATTGATTTTGAATCTTGTGAATCCATTAGAATCGTTAGAAGACAGAATCGCGATTAATATATGAATAGATTTTTACGTGCACCCCTAGTTTTCTCTTCCTCCTCTCTAAAGCAGCATGTTCCTCCTCCCCCCTTGCTGCATGTTCCCGGGGGCGGGGTTTGTCTGGGTTTGTGATGTCACAAACCTGGGAAGTAACTTGTTGTAATTCCTACGAGCCATTTTTGTAGACATTAAACTGCCAGAATTTTAAAAGACTATATATCTGTTTGCATTGAACTTTCAGTCCTGCAACTTTGCAGATATTGTTTATGCTCAAACAGCAACATTACACACTAACATCAAAAAAGTGAAATCACAATCAGCCACCCCTTTAATGAATGCTAAACAACTGGATTTTTTTTTTTTTTTTTTTTTTAAATAGTATTTTTAAAGGGGACTGGTAACATTTATGTACACTTAGTAAGGATGTTAAAGTTGCTGGAGTACAAGAGGCAGCCTCCACCAGTACCCACTGAGACTCCTTTAATTGCAGATCCTGCTGCACCCAATATAACAGATTCCTAATATTCGCTGCCCAATAATAGGTTTGATACTATTATAGCATTTATTAATATTTTGGATTAGTTTTTACTTTAATATTTTCATAAAATAAAAAATATATATAACATTTTAGTTAAGCAATTGTTTAGTTTGTAATTGTTTGTTCTTAAAATATTTCTTTTAGCTTTAATTAATTTTTTTACTTCAGTTTTAGTTTTCAGAATTTTATCTTAAACTTATTTTATTTTAAGTTTTTCTTCTAATATTTCTATTTTATTTTATTTCAGCTTTATTTCAATTAATGAAAACAATGTTTATATAAATATAAAGTTTTTATAGATGAACAAGATTGAACATATCCCTGTAGTACTTGTAATATCTTGTAATACTTGTATTTAGTAAATTTGAATAGCACTCTGTTTATGCAGTGCACATATGGGTGACATATATCTGAGTACATGTGGGTGTTTACATCCCCTAGAGTCAGGAAAAAAAAAACTGACAGCCTCGAGATTCACAAGAAATTCACACTTCTGTCTTCTTCTCTCCAGTTCCTGCAGACAAACTGCGGCTGTACATCTCTTACTGGATAGAGGTGAGATCTTACATCTAACCACCGACCCACTCGTTCAGCGCAGATCTCTGCTCACGGCACATCATGCTTAACACTGTGCTCTGCACTACAAATCACACGTGATGTAATGTGTTTCCCATCAAAGCGTTGGCCCGACAGGATGGCCCTGTGGTAAACATTTACAGGATGTAAATGTTGTGCGGCTGTTAAATGGAGGGCCTCTTGCGCCTGAGGTTTGCGTCACATATTAGAGCCCAGCCTTTAAAGCTGCTCTTTCTCTCCAGAGTAAACGTGCCTGAAAGGCGTAGCCTGCTCACTTGAGCAAACATATTCATCGACCCAGCCATCTGCCCATCTCCCTGACAACACCTCACACATACACACACACACACAGACATGAATGTGTGAGTGAGTATGATTGCATATCTAGAATATACGGTTACGTATATGGGATGTCCCCACTTTTCACAAATGTAAACATGTGTGTGTGTGTGCAGCGCAGAGTAACGCGTTGTGTGTGTGAGGGGAACAGGGTCACAAATCCTAGCACGTCAGCTGTCTTAACCGCGGCTTGTGTACTGCATCATCACTGTGTCTGTCACGTGACTCTGTTGCCCTTTCGGGCTGGAACTGATGGTAAAACTAATGACATTATTAACTATTGTAATATATAAGTAATATTTACTTTGAAAGCTGAAGCTTGCGATTATGGTAAGGGGCGTTACATTTCCAACGCGTGCTTGTGGTGTTCGGCCAATCACAATGCACTGGGTCAGCTGGCCAATCAGAGCAGACTGTGCTTGTCAAAGGAGGGGGCTTTGTTGAAACGACGTGTTTGAGAGAGGCGGGGCATAGAGAACCTACAATAATGTACAGTATTTTAAAAATAATGTGTTTTTTGAACATTAAAGCATGTCAACATATTCTGTTACACCAAATACACAAAATAATGATCTTTAAAATAGCATCATATGACCCCTTTAAGTCATAGTAATGAACCATGAATTGCTAGTCGGTAGAGGTGCAATTTTAAAGTAAAACTAAGTCATTTTCATCAACATTTGGGAGTACAGGAGCATATAAATGGTTTCGAAGCTAAAAGACCAGGACTAAATACCACAAAAGTCCTGTTTTGAGCCCATGGGGTCTTTAAGAATGTAAATATGGTCAGTTATGAATTTGTGTTGATTTCAGCAGACTATGTTATGTGACAGATGCTCACTCCACTCCATACAGTGCACGTAAAAAAAAACAGATAAACATAATGTTTGTTCCTCTGTTTCTTATTCATGCTCTCTCTCACTTTCTCCACTCGGTGGGCGACTGACATCAGGAGAGCAGCGACATCATCATCAGACTAGCACAAACAGACACGCACATGTGACTGCGTGAAAGAGAGGGAGGGAGAAAGAGAGTGTAGAGAGAGAAAACGGGGCTGTTGTAATGCATGCTAGTATGATGGAGGACTACATTACTTGTTTGTAGGGACAAAATCTTACGAAGGTGAGGTCATTTACATGTTGCTTTCTGCATGTTCTGTATGTGCCTTGAGCTTTTGCAGTGTGACTGGTGGAAAATAGTTTTTTCCTCTATAGCACCTTCAGTGTGATCTGACTGGCAAAAGGGATATTTAAGAAGGTGTGTTAGAGTTATATGTTTGAATTTGTTTTGAAATATGTAAGTTTAAATATGCATTGTACCTTAACATAGCACAATATAGAAACGTGACTATAGTGTGAAGTTAGAGTAAAATCTTGTATATTATTATCTAATAATCTTGGTTATTGCACATAAACTTGAGTGAGCGTCATATACGTATAGACTAATTGCATTCTAGCTGTTCATATTAGCAATTATTGTTTACCTCCTTGTGTCAGATCTTCTGTGCTGTGTCTTTAAAGAGCATCTGAGCTTGTGTGTTTCAACTACTATGTGAGCTAATTAGATGTGTAGGGCGCATGAATACATTAACCTTTTCCTCTTCAATAGGGAGACGTAAAATACAATTTTCATGTTTTTTTCTCTCTTTAATTTTCTCTTTCTGTCTTCCCATTTCCTCTCTTCCTATTCCCCCGGTACATTAGAAAACAGTGCTGAATATAATGCAGTATTGCAGAGTTGATGAATTCTTTATTCATTCACTCATTCATTTCTAATGTCATTTAAATATTTAGGTTGTTGTTTTTATCAATATTGTTTCTACTTTTCTTGAGCTTTTAGCTGTTGACTTTACTGCTTTTATGTTTGGTGTCCCAGAGACAACAGTGATATATGTGTAAAAATAATAATAGTATTTTTTTTTTTTATTTGAACAATTTTGTTATAATAAAATCCCAATAGTGAGTTTTTTTAAGCATAGCGTCTGTTAAGGATCAGTTTTACCCCCTCAGAAAAATAAATAAATAAATAAAAATAAGTTGTAGACAAAAATAACAACAAAATTTATTGCAATTAATAATGTTTAATACTGGAGTCTCTGAAACCAGAAACATAAGTAATGTAATGTTTTTCATGGAGGATGGTTAATGGTTAAGTATATTTTTGTATCAAACATGAGGGGAAGTGTGGCTTTTTATATGGTGAGTGATGATTCATTTGCAGTGTTTGTGAATGATAACTGCATTAATAATTTGATTATTTACTAAAGGACTTGGCATAGGCTATAATTCAGTTTGAATGATGCATAAATCTGTGTTTTTCCCACTTACTTAATATATTTTATTTTTTAAATATATCTCATATATACTGTATAATTATTTAAATATATATATATATATATAATGTATTTAAAATACATTGTAATTTTTGCTGTATGTTGTGTCTTTCATGACATAAAATACAGTATTTTATGTATTTTCTTACAATGCACAATTCTGTATTGCTTTCCCCATTTACTTAATACAGGTAAATGTATATATATATAATTATAAAGTGTATAAATTATTTTAAATAAAGTAAATTTTTAATAATTGTAATAAAGTATATTTATTATTTGCTATGTATCATGTTTTTCATTTACTTAAAAATACATTATTTTTATGTACATAAATTTAAGACTGCTCCAAATTGCGTTTTTTTTTTAACTAAGAATTAACACATGTTAGACTGCACCTCATAAACACAATCAAGTGTCAGGAGCTAAGAAATTATTTTTATGCAAAATGGCATTCAAGTTTTTTTTATCAACAGCTTTTCTTCATTCTTTTTATCCATAAAGTAGTAGGTAATTGTTAAATCCAGAGCCATTTGTAAAATGTTGATTTCAATTGTGTATTATTGACAGATGCTGGAACCAAAAGCAGCTGAACAGGCTGATCTGGGTCTGCTGGGCTTCAGCCCTTACAGTGTGTCTGAGCCCTGTTCCCCATCATGCCCCTCTGCATCGCCCATCATGAGAAGAACCAACTGCAGCTCTCCAGCTCAGCGGCTCTCCTACCCAGACCTGCACTGCAGCACCGGAGACGCCAACCAAACTGCTCCGACCTTTCGAGACGCCTGCAAACCTCCATACCTGGAGACCTCTGAGATCTGGAAGGACAGACAGAAGGAGGTGAAAGGAGGTGGCCAAGAGTCAGAACTGGAGAAAAGGGAGCAGGGGGAGGGCCAGAGCGAGAGCGCTTCTGAGACTATCAGCGTTGGCGCCAGACCCACATCTTCATCGTCATCTTCCTCACCTCTAGTCATTCCCAGGCTGTGCCTGGATCGCTCCTTCAACGCAGATGCTTTGACCTCACCGTCAACTGACGATGATGAGGAGGAGGAGGAAGATGATGAGGACACAGATGAAGGCTTTCTGAAGAGGAGGAGTATGGTGGAATCATCTCCTAGCAGTGGGCAGCAGAGCGGGGGCTTGTGTGTGCAGAGGTCCCTCCACAGACGGACGCACAGCGAGAGCAGTTTGCTGCAGGAGCCCCGGTCTCCTCGCTTCATCTCTGATCAGGCCATCGACTGCATAGAGGCCAAGCGGGAACCTTCAGAGCGCTGGGCGGTTCCCTCCCCGCAGACCCTGAGGAAAGAGCTCACCAAGAACGGAGGATCCGTCCACCAGATCTGTCTGCTCTTCACTGGAAGGAGGGTACGTACAAACTCAGCTATGTCAAATTACAAAAAACACTATTTATGTGATGTAAAAAAAAAAAGTTTAAACATTTAAACATGGTAAAATATGTATTTTGTCAAAGCCTCAATGATGATTCATGCTCAAAAATATTTAAATTAGTAGTTAAATTTAGTTTAATTAATTCAAAATATGTCTTTTGTAAATCTTCCACAGGTTTGTGGCAAGCTGAACTGTAAATGTGACACAGGAAAAACTGGTGTCAAAAAGAAGAAATCCAAGAATTTGTGAGTCAAGCCATTTTCTTCTGCTTCATTTGCAATTTTTTGTGAATCTCGTTAAAACTGTCAAGACATGTATTTCACCCCAAGATCAAAAGTTATTTTTTTTATTATTATGCAATTAAGAAAAAAAAGCCTATTTGTAGCACGATTACATTTCTTTGCATTGTAACATTGTTTTCATGACAGTGAAGCAGAAAACTCATTACTATATTATCAAAAATGTTTTATCAGGTGATTCATGTGGTAGCATCAGATTTAACTGGCTCAAAGCAACAAAATGGCTTGACACCATAAGGTTATGCCAACAAAAGTCATTTTGCATTATAGTAATGAGAATTATCATAAATATGACTCATTGTCATGAAAATAATGTAACAATAAAAAACATAATGGTCCTACAAATATGCTCCGTTTTCTTCACGCAAAACATAATTTCTTGTTTGTTTGTTTGTTTTTTTATTTTGATTTTAGGTGTCTGGACTGTTTATTATTTGCTATATATCATGTTTTTAATTTACAGAAAATTATAGTATACATTAAGTTATTTTTTTTATTATTATGCAATTAAGAAAAAAAAGCCTATTTGTAGCACGATTACATTTCTTTGCATTGTAACATTGTTTTCATGACAGTGAAGCAGAAAACTCATTACTATATTATCAAAAATGTTTTATCAGGTGATTCATGTGGTAGCATCAGATTTAACTGGCTCAAAGCAACAAAATGGCTTGACACCATAAGGTTATGCCAACAAAAGTCATTTTGCATTATAGTAATGAGAATTATCATAAATATGACTCATTGTCATGAAAATAATGTAACAATAAAAAACATAATGGTCCTACAAATATGCTCCGTTTTCTTCACGCAAAACATAATTTCTTGTTTGTTTGTTTGTTTTTTTATTTTGATTTTAGGTGTATCTGGACTGTTTATTATTTGCTATATATCATGTTTTTAATTTACAGAAAATTATAGTATACATGATTCTTTTCTATTAAAATCAGAAGGTCCTATATACAGGCTTAAAGGAATAGTTCACCCAAAAATGAAAATTTGCTGAAAATGTACCCTCAGGCCACCCAAGAAGTAGATGAGTTTGATCATTGCCACAGATCTGCAGAAATGTTGCATTACATCACTTGCTCACCAGTGGATCCTCTGCAGTGAATGGATGCTGTCAGAATGAGAGTTCAAACTGCTGATAAAAACATCACAATAATCCACAAGTAATCCACACATCTGCAGTCCATCAATTAACTTCTAGCAAACTGAACTGCATGTTTGTAATACATTTTCAAACAGTTGCTTTATCCTAAAATATGAGTCCTCTATCCATAATATTGTTTTCTCATTAAAGATGGATTTGTTTCCATTGGAGAGCAAGTGATGTAATGCAAAATGTCTACAAATCTGTACTGATAAGGAAACAAACTTTGTTGGGTGAATAATTTTTCAGCAAATTTTCATTTTTTGCTCAATTTTCTTTATGCTAAATAAATAGTAAGAATTGTAGCCATGCAACCATGAGATATTTAGGTGTTCTGGTTTAAGAGATGTGGATGTAATGTTTTCCATTCTCAGGTTTGCTGGAGGAAAGCATTATTTATGTCTTTACTATCTGTGTTCCTCCTACAATAAAGCTCACGGCTATAACCGGAATACATTTCCTCCCAGAAGCACTTGAGTGAACAGTTAGCTAATAAATCACCTGATGTGACGCCTTTTGTCTTGTCACACAGGGCCAAAGACATGAAAAACCGCCTGACTTTTCTGCGGAAGAAGACCAATGACAGACATGGAAGCAATCCAGCCAGCAGGCTTGAGAAAGTCCTTAAGTCAGACAAGTGAGTCCACGTGATTGTTTCCTCTTTCACCCGAACAGACTCCCGGCGCACTGCATTGCGTGTCATATGCATATCATTGTTTTTAAGTATCGAGAGAGAGTCATTCAGGAACACAGAATGGGTGCATAGGCTGAGCTTTGATGTATGAGTGTTGAGTGTGCAATCAAAACAACAGTGACGTTTTTGAGTTATTGAGTAGATGGCCTATTTTGTGCGCTATAATTATCTGTGAATGGGTCATTAGTGTGAGTCATGGCTTTGTTAACCGCTCTGTCTGCTCATCCACAGACCAACTCCAGAGGAAGCTCTCAAATGGGCAGAGTCGCTTGATGCGCTGCTTTCTCACAAATGTAAGATATGTCTCATTCGATATGACAGCTGTGTTGATCTCTGCACCTCAGCAGCTGTTACTGCTGTTTTAAACCATGCATTTTATCCACATTAACCTCTGCTCCTGGATCCAAATCCAGATTTACCCCAGATTCTCTTCAGCACTTATTCTGTGTTTTCTAATAAGCATTAGAGTAATTTTCTCCCCCCTTCTTCAGATGGCCTAGTGGTTTTCCGCTCCTTCCTGCAGACAGAGTTCAGTGAGGAGAATCTGGACTTCTGGTTGGCCTGTGAGGACTTCAAGAGGATCAAATCACTGTCCAAAATGGCATCCAGAGCAAAGAAGATATTCACTGAGTACATCTCCATACAGTCCTGTAAAGAGGTAAGATGAAAAAACAGTTTTCAGGCTTTCATAATAAGAAACCCAGCTCATGTTTAATTATGGTGGTTCTTGGTCACTAATTAGGAATTATATAGAAATGTACACAGTTGTGTGTGTGTGTGTGGAGAATTGTGCAAATAGAAGAAATAATGCATCTAAGTTGACAAAATGAAAAATGATATTTCTTAGTTGACTTGTTTTCAGCAATAACATGTCCAGGGCAATTTCATCTAAAGTTTCACTCAGTTTTTCTTGGCAAGAAACAGGATTCATTTGTGTGAGGATTTTTTTTTTTATTTGACTTGCAATTTGTAATTGATTCCAGAGAGCAGATGTGCCAGAAAACCAATCCAAAATGAATATGAAAAGTGTCCTAAGCAGACTCTTGTTTTATTTCCAAGGTTAATCTGGACTCATACACCAGGGTGCACATCAAGGAAAATATGGAGAACATCTGCGCAGACTGCTTTGACCTGGCTCAGAGCAGAACCTTTGGATTAATGGAAAGAGACTCGTACCCTCGATTCCTCCGCTCTGACATTTACCTGGAATTAACCAACCAAAAGAGACCCAGCTCTGTCACAGATCCATCGTAAAGCTCTGATGACAAACTGTAGACGCTGAACTTTTTAGATCAGTATTGCTGGAGACATAGTAGAACAGGACGTGTCTACAATCACATAATCCACTAATGCACAGCTTCATATTGAAAAGTCAGTCAACTAAGTACCTTGGAGAGCTCAGCCCGATGGATCATTGCATGGACAGATTGGTTTTGGATGCTTCTGTGCTGCATGCACCCTGTTGGACGGTTGCAGCAATAAGATAGTGATATTGTGTTATGAATATGCTGGAAGTGTTGACTCAAATCAATTTGCCAGTGCCCAAAATGCCTTGCCACCTGATGACCCAGTGGCAGTACAGAGAGGGTGCAACGCATGATGGGTATAGGAAAAAAGAGACATTTTGGTACTGTTTTGTTCAGCTTTACCAAGAGACTTTTCACTTTTCTTTCCTGCACAGACCTCAACATAGTCCACTTTTACAAAGATCCTAGTGAGATGACATTGGATGAAACTAAGTATTAGTTAACATTAATGTCCTTTTTTATCTGAGTTGCAGTTGACAGCATGTTGATATTCTCTCAATACTACTGACAGAACACTAATTCTTATTACTTTCAAGGGCTTTGGTAACATTTCCACATCTGTTCTTCATGTAGTGGCCCCGTGGCTCTAACCCCTTATGTTTTACAAGTGCAATATACAATTAGTTATTCTTATTAATATTTCTTTAAAAAACAGTATATTAAAGGGGTCAGAAGTGTGTGTATATATATATATATATATATA